AAATGCAGACTTTGGTCGAACGTCTTTCGGTAGACGCCAACGTTTCGGAGAAGCATACTGTTTCCATCTTCAGGACTGGAGATGGAGACACTATGTTCCGTCTACCGACATCCACGTGGAGCCAAAATCCAGAAGAACGTCATCATTCTCACAGCAGAGAACATCTTTAATCTGACAAGATAGTTTTATGTTTGTATCTAACTACTTTCTTCATAATTAGTTTCATCTACAAAATTTTAGTGCAGTGTATCACAATTATACAAAATAGTAGAAAATAAAATGGAAAGACGACCGGGAGTGACTAGGGGAAAAGGATTTGAAAGGAGATGGGCGTGGCCCATTTGTAGATAGCATACCAATATTAGTGTTAAGAGACTGGGAAATACAATAAAAATTACAGACATTCGATAAATACAGACCGAGGTTTGACCATCTGATGCCGAAGACAGACTAAATAATATAAAAGAAATCAGTCCTACCACACATATGTCCGTATCATTATAGTTTCACTTTAGAATCGATAGTTTTGAAGCTACGGTTTCAATAATCGAAATACTACATCACAAATATAATTTTGTTAATGTACGTTGGAACTATTTTGTCTTGTCAGCACGCTTGCCTTGTGGCTGATGAAAGATACATTAACTGATACAAACTTCCATCCAGCCGAAGCATTCAATATTTCATTCCATTCGCTCTAGAATTCACGAGATAAGTCAGACTACCAGCTATCAACTGTTTCGAGATGTAACAAAAGCAGGCTGCAATGTGGAGGTTTGTATCAAAATGTAAAGTCCTTGTAGCAAGTTTCAGGCTTTCATTCACGATTGTTTATTGATTTTCATCTGGTTCACTGTAAAGGAGAGAATTCCAATAAATAACCTTTTGTACAACCAGCGTTTTGCAGTCAAGGAACTACGTAATGCAAATCATTTCAATATCACATCCCCGACTAACTAACTCCTTGAAAATTCCAATTTGAAAAGATAATAGTCGCGCAATTAGTTACGAAATTCCTCGTCTTTTATGGAACTCGAAGGTTCATTACCATGTTCACAGATGTCAGACCTTCCAACACAGTTTCACGAACTACTGAAACTAATAATGTTAATTAGGTAAGGAGATATAATGACTTTCAATCTGCGTAAAAATAATCGGTGGGAAAAATTCAGAGCTAATAAATGTTAAAAGATGTGGTACGTATCATTACCACCGTGGTTTAAAAAGTTAATAAATCCGGGCTCTGAAACCGGTAAGTCAATCTAGTGTTCAGATGTAAGTTAGCCCATTTTTCCAACTGAAGATATAAACCAACCAAGATCAGGCTTTACCTATATAACAGATGCAAGCCACTCAAGAACCGGTCTTTCTGTACGTCGGCATGAAAATGACAAGACGTTTCCTGCCTCGAGAGCGGTTGAAGCATTGAGACGTCATGCAGTGAAGTATAACACTCCCGGCGGAGTAGACTGCTCTCCGCGCGAGGTTCTTATTACCATGGTAACACTTGGAGACGTGTGTCCCCATGGCCCTTAGGTCTATTTCGGCACACTAGAATAAGTTACAAAGTGGCGGAATTGTTCTGGGTATTGGCGCAATTTAGACTTAAGCAGATATTAACGTTTCGGAGAAACATACCGTCTTCATCCTCAGAGCTGAAAAATGTATACCCAACGTAACAAACCTTGATCATTCTCTCTTGACGTTTGGTTAATGGATATTGACACTTGATGCTCTCTTATAAATAAAGACGACCAATGAATGATTTGAAGTAGCCAAACGGTTTTCGAGTTAACAAATGACAATCAAATTTGGTTTAATTGCAAGGAAATGCGTGAGGCTCGTGCGAAAATTATATTGGTACAGAAAGTGTTTAATTTTTTACACAAGTTTTCTCCGAAATGTTGTTCAGTGCGATAAATATTTAACGAGTTACGTTAGAGATATGTGCAGAAAATTATGCAGATCTTCATGAAAAATTAAGTGAGATCTCAGGTTCTTACGGTGGCTTTGTTGCACCGCGTATGCTCGTAGAATTTTGCTTAAGTTTCAGGGGAACGTATTTCTCATCTTCAGAGTGAGTATTCGAATTCAAAGTCTTGACATATCATTTCAGATTCAACCTGCCGTTGTTGGGATGTAAAATGGAAAGATTTTAAATTCTGTTCACAGTCTCGGAAAGAAGGTCTGAGTTTCAATTAATACTTAGAACATTACTTTACTCAGCTCGGATTCTTATTATTCCTTTTACACGTCACAGATTATTCACGACATTCTGTCAATTTTTAACTAAAGACGCAGGAAAAGATTAAATTTCCGTAGCTTTTAGAGTCAATTAAATTTTTTTTAAATCAATTTTGTTTGATGTTTTGAATAGTGACATTTTAAAAGGTTTTCTTCAAAGGAGACACATGAATACTTGAAATAAATTGTATTATTCTACATTATGACAAAGTAACATAAAACTAAGTGATTCTGTGTTAAACGTTTTTAACATATTAGAAATGTAGGCTCTGTAACTTATAAATATTAACATGATTACAGAATACACACTGATATGTAATCTGACAAAAATCATTCTTAGCAGACTACACGATTTAGTGCGCAATACATACAGGAAAGAAATTTAGTTTAGAATATTGAGAAATATGAGATTATTACTACTATTGATATCAGTAAAATAGCGTCGAATGATGCCGACTAAGAATATGGATGGACGCAGTCGTCGCCTAATTTTAAAAAAAACTATCCTTCAACATAATTCAACATGATTTTTATATTCTTCCTCAACACTATTTAAGTTTGGCTGTTCAGTCTCTGTTATTTAAACAAAGAATCAAATCAACCGAAAATACGAAGGTACGGAAACAAATCGAGAGAAAAGCCCCAAAATCCGGAAAGCCTTGCTTCCGAAGTTTGCCGGAAGAGGGTTCTACTGTAATTGATCTGAACTCGTGAGGTAGCAAGCAAAGTGGAGCTGATGTCAGCCGGGGAAGTACAAACAAGTCTGCTGTTTGTCCTGTGATCACAGGCCGGTAACGACTGTTAAACAAATGGAACTGGCCCCTCATAACTAACTGGTGATGTACTTCCCACACAAAGAAATGAAAGGGTACAGTTCAAAGGCGAATATTCATTCTTTTTGGTATCCTTTAACTACTTAGAGTGCACTTAGTTAGGTTATTTTGCCCATCTATTACAGCAAAATATCTATTTCTGTATTTAAAACTTACGAGTTTGTTTAAAAGCCAAATTATCTTTCGGAGCAAATAAAATATATTTCCCTACCGGACTGGTATAGCGGTAACTTTATTATGGAGTTACATGGTTCGAACCCTGAATTACAAAATACGATCATTGAAGACTTCCTTAATTTTCTCCAGCTAGCATTTTATTCTGAACATACATGACCTGTTCCCTCAGAACCATAACTCACTAACGATTCATGGTAATCTTATTATTACAATACAAATCCGCACTTGAGAGGGCACAATGATGGCTGTCTTCTGGGTTGTAGCGCCGTGTATTCTGGTAGTTTACCGTGGCCCTGATGATAAAGGCAGCAAGGACCTCTGAAACGTTAGTAAACTTCTACCAGACTAAACGATGCTACAACCCAGAAGACAGCCATAGTCGACCCGCCGACGGAGAGAATGAGGAAAATCACGAGTAACCTGGGTCAAGATGACCCTTTTCAGGCCTAGATTTACAACCGGAACATTCCAAATTAAAGCAGTCTGCTAATCACTTGTTCGCGACTTTAGATACACGCATATTACGATGCGTTTTGCCACCTGAAACGAAACAAGTGGATGTAAATACAAATATTTTTCTACGACCACCTGGAATTTCAAGCTTAAAATGTTTTATAGCCATGTTATTTAAATTTGAATTCTCAGTATTTCTCAGTGCGTATCCAGATGTTTTCAGGGCTTATTTTGGTTTGCGTACGAAACGAAATATAAGGCGTACACAAAACGTTTCATTATGCGGCATTTCGCTTTTAATTCATATCGTCACACCATATTCCTTTATGAATAATTACCCTGGCCCACCGCGCTGAATTCCAGTCAGAAAACAATTTTTTTGTACGCACGTCACATGGACAAAGACATAGCTCAGAACAACACAGCCACAAAAGGCAATAGGTGAAGAGAAATATTACCCTTTTACATAGTATTCTTCTGGATTCTATGGGCTTCTATGGAATTATTTTTAGTAATTCGGGAATCGAAATACAAGGACAAATAAATATATGGACGCGTATAAACTTTGCCCGTGATGAAGATGGTGGCCATGAGAACCTGAGATCTCACTTTGTGCTAATTGTTTAATCGTATCGTGACAATTGGGATTGATTCACTAAAAGTGATGATAATAATTACAATGGTAGGTAAACTTCAGTCGTTGATGATTTATTTAAATACAACCCCCAGGAAGCAGAGTTAATGTAAGTTAGTAGTGAATTTGGATAAAACGTTTACTTGCAGAAAATTATAGTAAAAAATTGTCTTCTGTCAGGATAGGAAAAGGTTCGCCGCAATGCTGTGATAACGTTTCCAAAGAGATAAATACATTTCGGGAGACAGAGAGAGAGAGAGAGAGAGAGAGAGAGTGAGACAGAAGCAGATAGGCGTGGCAGTATTGATCAGGCGCCTGGCGTCTTCTCACAGTACGTCCAGCATGTCCTAACACAACAAAGAATAAATTATTTAATGCTGTCAGATTAATTACTGACGCAGAGGAGAACTAAGAGCTGACCACATAAATTTTGTTAAAAAATTTCAAGGTAGAAACAGAGTCAGTATAACCTGAATACCATTTTAAAGACCACTACATTAAACAAGTAGTACAATTCTCGAATATGACTTTAGCAAAAGAAAGGATTATAAGATTTTATAAGGACAGGCATCCTTAGGTGATGTATTTATTATCGAAACATAAAAACTGG